TACAACATAACTATAACTAATGTGAATTTATATGAAAAATTTATGCAATCTTCCTATTTTTCCAAAATGTATAATGCTTGCAAAATACATAAAAACAGAGAGAAAAAAAATGATTAATCACAAAATTTATTAATTATACTCCCTCTGTTCCATCTCAATTATCATATTTAATTTCGATATGAAAATCAAAAAATTACAATTAGTAAAGAATTAAGAAACATATTACTCCAAATAATTATTATATAATACAAATAATTATAAATTAAAACTGGGATAACTAATTAATTTAATTACAATTAAGAAAATATAAAGTATAAAATTTACAATGCAATTAATTTGTATAATTATTTTGCAAAAAAAAAAAGTGACAAATGAATGAAAAATATGAACAATTTATATGAGACAAATAAACATATTTTTTGAAAAGACAACGAGATTGCATTCTCACAAATGAATGATTACCGAGCATTTGTATTCTTAAATTTTTCAATGTAATGGGCAATAATCATGTAATGTGAAGAATGACAATACAACGTATATGTCTTCAAAATTTTGTATCAGTGGCACAATCCTTGTAAAAGATAATTAATAGAACACATTTGCAATTCACCCCAAGCAGTTCTTTCTCAAGTAAGTTAGCATAGTTAGAACATCATAGTAAAAATATACTACAACACAATGATCGAAGTTTTAAAGGTAAAGACATAGTTAAGTAACTATTTCAAACATTATCCACCAAACCTAGACACTCAAATAAAGTAGTTTGATGCAACGAACAAATTTTTATCAAATAAACTCATAAAACTTACGTTTACCTAACAAACATAAGAGATAAAGTAGCAAAAAGGTTAAAAGAACTTTACATCTTTCATGGTACTCCGGTAAGTTAAGGGTGAAAGGGTGGCAAATGTTTAGGAAAGACAACAACATTGCGAGAGTGAAAGAAATGCTCGAGGAAGTCATCTCGATTCCACTCGGTTTTTTTATTACAAAGCTCTACGAAAGAGATTTGTTGTGATGGTCTCCGGCACTGGCGAGCTTATTTTCAAACTCCGGTTCAGAGTTAGGGACAATGAACAAGTCAAAGGCGTAGCAAGTCATCGACAACATAAATCCGGTCAAATGCATGGTCGAGCAGCCATAAGGATCTTTTGAATTGGGCCAACAACTCAAATTTATAGCATAACCTTCAAAACTCACTTTATGTCGCAAAAACGAAATGATACCAACAGAAAATATCGTTCCACTGGTGGCAAATAGTGAGGTTGAAGGAACATCGCCGGATTACGGGCCGTAAAGTATGGACATCGGCATTGTCATGGTAGGAAAAAAAGGTAGAGTTTTAATACCAAAAAAAATATATAAATAAGGATAGATTTCTGTGGTGGATTATACATTCTCCACACAATCCGTGAAATAATTTTTTAGTTAAAAAGTAATTGGATTTGGTATACTAATGTTATTTAGATACATTTATTTAATAATCCAATCTAACTTATTTGATGACATTTATATAATATTATGTGCATGTAACTCTCATTTTTATTTAATTGAGAAACACATTTTATATAGAGACCGGATTGTAAACAAACTAAAATAGAAAAATAAATAGATAATGAATGGAGATAGTATATATTATAACTAGTAAATTGATATAATAATAAAAATGAGCTGAAATATGTAAGTAGCTAACACAATAATTAATTCAAAGAAAGTTAAGTTGTTGCGAATATAGTATAATTATTTTTATTAATTTTTCTTTTAAAAAATCTATTATATATCATTGAATATTTTTTCTTATTATAAATATATTTAAGGTAAATTATTTTTTTAGTCTGTCTCGTAATTGGATGTTGTCTTAAAATAATTTAGTGAATTTTTTTTTCAATTTAGTCCTCAATGCCTAGGTGGCATCTGCGTGGCAGGCTGACGGACATGTGTTGACCAGATCAGCGCTACATGGTTGCCACGTAGATAATTTTTATTATTTAATTTTATTTTTTATTAAAAAATAAATAAAATTAAAATTAAATATATAAAAAAATAAAATATAAAAAATAAAAATTATTCTCATGTCCGCCAGATCAATGCCACGTGGCCGCTACATGGATAATTTATACTCCCTCCGTCCTAGGAAATATTGGTCTATTACTGTAGATATGAGAATTTAAGTAAAGTATAATTAGTAAGTAATTAAGAAGTGTATTAGCAAAAATAATTATAGATTAAGATAAGTAAATAGTTTAATTAAAATTAAAAATATTATAAAATATAAAATTTAAAGTGTGATTAAAGTGTATAATCATATTTTCAAAAAAGGAAATGACAAATTATGTGAGACGGAAGAGTTTTTTTATATTAAAAATAAAAAATAAAATAAAAAAATATACTAATACATGAATTATTAAAAGTTACATAGTGCTGATTTGACGGACATATGGATAATATTATTTTTTATTTTATTTATTTTTAATTTTATATAGTAATTTATTTTTATTTTTATAAGTGTAATTTTTTATATTTAAAAAAAATAAAAATAAAAGTAATTCATGTGGCGGACACATGTCAGCCACGTGACGCTGATCTAGCCGATACGTGTCTGGCAGTTTGCCACGCAGATCTAAGCATTGAGAACTAAATTGAAAAAAAAATTCACTTACTGAGATTATTTTAAGACAGTCTCCCGTTACGAGACTAAAATGATAAATGGGTTCAATTACGGGACTAAAAAATCAGTTTACCCATGTACTTATTATATGCATATATACTGTAAGATATTTCAAATTCACTTCTTATTCTGTTTCTTCTTACGTTGATTTTGCTTTCAACCATGAACTCAAATTCATAAAATTGTTTAAATTTTCATTATTATTTTAGGTTTTGCAATTTTACGAATTTGTTTGGGAATAAATTATCTTCACGTAACTCGTGAAATTAAAATTCTACTTTCAATTACCAAACATGCCCAAATTTCTATTATTCACGCCAGCGTTCCATTCAATCAAATTTACATCCATCATGTTTTTTAAGTATTTGAAGTTTTACTAAAATCTCCACTACCTGACTTAATGCAAAATGCATATAAAAAAGACATTCTTGAATTTCACAGTGAACGGTGATATTAAAGTTATTACTTTGATCAGGAACGAAAGAAGAAAATAAACTCGTTAAGAAAATCTACTTCTTGTTAGTGCATGAGTTAATACAAGGATATCATTTTAAGTATTGATTAAAAAAAATATTCTGCTTTTAGAAAGTAAATATCTTAATATGATATGGAAACTAATTAGTTACATGTATACTGTATGCGAACAAGTCCAAGTCAGTATAAAAATCATAGGTAAAAAATTAGTCAAAATGTATAAAAAATTACTGATTTATATAAGCAAACTAACCAAATAAGACCTAGTGAGCAGTTTAGTCATAATGTATTAAACAAGGCAAACAAAATATATATTATACCGATTATGGTAAGTTTTTCATATGAAATGTATGATGTGAGTTGAAACATAAATCAAAATGACATCCGAGTGCTTTTACTACTAATACTATTGGTGGAACATCTCACTATAGTAGTATGGTTCCAAGAGAATCAAAATCAATAAAAATTTGTGGATACTGTGGGTGTGTTTGTTTGGGGGTTTGGATTTTAAGTTGAGATTTGAAATTAGTAAAAATTTTGAATTTGAATAGTTGTATGATGTGATATAAATAGGTGTTGATATAATGTTTTGAATGCAAAATTGATTTTTAGTATAATATAGAAAATAAAAAATAGGTGTTTGATTTGATGTTTTTGGGAAAAAAATTTTGAATGAATAATAGAATTTTGTTAAAATCTTTCAAATGAACAAACCCGTTAAAAGATAAAAATTTGAATGGCTACAATAAATATTTTGAAGGCGAAATTATTTAACAAATTATTTAATTAGTTGTTTAGATTATCTATATTTTTATATATATTGGTTTTAACCTTATATTTCATTTAAGTTAATCCGTCCGTCCACCTATTTTATAGTTGTATATGAATGAATTAATGAGATTGAAATTATATATATTTTTTAATAATGAACAGAATATGTAAGAAGATGTAATATATTTATATATAAGTGTAATATTAAATAATATAAATTAATTAGTATATAAAAATTACTTTCTATAGAAAATATATTTTTATGGATAAAAATAAAATAAAATACAATAGATTTGATGAATAGAGGAGGAGTGTCAGGATATGTTCTTATGTTTGGATGTATTTTTTTAAGAAAAAAAAAAAAAAATTTTCAAAAATATTAATATACCGTAAATATTCATTGTTTTCATATTTTTTATACAATTATTCATATCTTATATATATATATAAAATATCTATTCAAATTATTTCACAAAACAAATACATCATTTGTTTATTTTAATAAGTACTATATTTATCTATATAATTGTTTATGTTATATTTTATAGTCTGATATTTATATTATTTTTAAATACATTAAAATATAAATTACATAATGGTAAATATATATATATATTTATTGTTTTTAGAATTTATTGAATATTATAAAACCATTATTCTTATTAATTAAAATTTTCTTGAATAAAAATATATTTAATATTAATATTATTTTTTATTAAAATAAAATTTTATAAAATACAAAGATATAAAAAATAATATATATCCATAAAATTAAAATAATATACATAAAAAATAATAACAAAATAATTTATTTCTTTTAGCCATGTGTCTCATCTTAATTGGGACACATGCCAAAACAAAGGGGAACGACAATTCTCAACCGGTTCTTCGCATCTCCACCGTGTAATACTGCAAAATTCATTTTTATTTTTATTATTATTTTCTTAAAACGCTACGTGGGATTGTAAGTTAATCTGGAACGAAATAACCGTACCATATACAGCATCCACTCTCCCTTCCCCCTCTCTCTCTCTCTCTCTCTCGTTCAGTTTCTTACACTTGTATCAGACAAATCCAATTTCTAAAAATGGAGACCACTAACATCGCCGCTGCCGTCAACAACTACCTCTCCGCCGGCGGCCTCATCTCCGCCGCCAATCAAAACCCTAGAAGGGACCGCGACCGCGACAAATCGGCTATAGTTATCGGCGATGGCAGACGAGGGTCCGGCAGCCGCAAAGCTCCCGGCCCGACCGCCCCCAAAATCACGCGGCCCTGCACCGAGTGCGGCAAGCAGTTCTGGTCATGGAAGGCCCTTTTCGGCCACATGCGCTGCCATCCCGAGCGCCAGTGGCGCGGAATCAACCCCCCGCCCAATTTCCGCCACCACCGCCCACCGCCGCCGGAGACCAACGAGGAAGACTCCGAAATGGCCGAGTGTCTGTTGCTGCTGGCCAACGGGACCCCAGCTCCCGATTATCAGAAGCACTGTTGCTCGAGCGCCGGCGGTTTCGAGTGCTCCGGATGTAAGAAAGTGTTCGGTTCTCATCAAGCCCTCGGGGGCCACCGAGCGAGCCACAAGAACGTTAAAGGCTGTTACGCCATTAACAAGAAAGATGGAGATGGTCAGGGTCAGGGTCAGGGTCAGGTTCAGGGTCAGGATCAGGATCAGGATCATCAGGGGGGAGTTAGGGTTGAGGATTGTGTGAATATTGGGGAAGAAGACGATGATGGGCACAAATGCAGCATTTGTTTTAGGGTTTTCACGAGTGGTCAAGCTCTTGGTGGGCACATGAGGTGCCATTGGGATAAGTCCGTCGAGGAATCGTCTAGGGTTTCCCATGCCTTTGATCTGAACACGCCGCCGCCACCGCCGCCACTCCGGGAGAAGGATGACGCCGCCACTTCTGCGCTTTATTCTTCGATTGAATGTGAGGATGATTTGGATTTAAGGTTAGGGCTATGAAGAACGGCTAATTAGTTTGATTGCTAATTGGCCCTTAATTGCTTGTAATTAACTTCGTGTACTATTAATCCTAAGTAGAATATATATATATATATATATATCTATATAGATATAGGAGTGTGGTTTAGAAAAAAATGGTTAGAATTGTATTGTATTATATGATCGGATTAAGTGTATTGATGCTGCAGGTTGTATATATATATATATATATGTTGTATGTTTATATTCAAGTTTGTAGATTGATCGTTTTTGTATATATATTATTATTATTACAAGTTGCGGATATTTGCAGTATAGGAATCCTTTAATGTATTAGTATTCAATTTTTTATTATGAATGGTGATAAGTGGACTTGTGACGATTTGTACATTATAGCATGTGCTATTTTGCGTTTTTATTTTCCTTTGATATTTTTATTTTCCAAACGTTTGAGGTGAAATAAGTTATGGATTGTTGTGATGCTTGCGAAAATTAGAGATAATATATAACTAATGACACGAACATTCAACAAGAAAAAAACATACACAATAACTTACGCATAATTAGATAGACAATGACTCTTTTATAAAATCTTCTCATGGTTTGTAGGGACGTCAAACAGGGCAAGTTAGCCCCGGACCGGTCTTAATGGGGCGGGTTCGGTCTAAAAAAATTGGTTTGGAGCGGGTTGTAAAATTTGAATTTTAGACCCAGCCGGATTCAAGGCATTTTCGGGTTTTACTAAAAACTCGTCCATTCTTGGATCCAAACTCGAATATTTTAATAATTTATTTATATTTTTATACCATATAAATTATATTATTTATTTATTTAAAATGTTTTAAAAATAAAATTGAACCTTAATTCTAAATCAAATTAGTGTTCGCATTTGTTTATCCTACAATTTTCTTTTTAATTTGAAGCATTTTTTTTAAGTATTAAATTATTTTTAAAAAGTTATATTTTATTATTTTCTTTAAAAAAAATTGTTTGTCGCGGGTCCTGGGCCGGGTTGAAGCGGGACGGGTCTTGGGTCATAATATTTTCTAGCGGGGCGAGTCTCGAGGTCTGCAAATCTTTTTTTTTTTAATATTCAAAAAATCAATACACAATAACTTTTATTTGAAGGCTGAAAAAACGAGGTTTGGTGAAAATATCTTAAGTAGTAAAGACACTTTTTAAGAAATTTTTATTTTTTATTTTTTTATTTTTTCTCGGGTAATTGGAATAAAATATCTACCTTTATTTTCATATTTCAATTTACTCCTCAGACAATTTTGATACTCTCTGCACTCACTCGTTTATCAAAATCCTTATCATTAACTCCCATCACTTTATCATTTCCAATTTTGTCCCTATCTCAACCCAAAAATTCATTTTACCGATTTCAATTCTCTATCTATTTGTTAGGTTTTTTTCGCGCCAATAAAGGAAATTCTGTTCAGCATTTGGTTTCATTCGCGCAAAGAAAAATGATTGTTTACATCATTTAGTTTCGTTCACGAGGAGTGGTGTGATCGATGGTGAATCTGTGATGAGTTTCGAATCTAAATCTCAAATTTTAGGTTTATTTCGTGTAATAGAGAAACGGGTAAGATTGAGGTTCGATTCCTCAGCGTGTGATATTTTTTTGGTGCGATAATTTTGTCAGTTGATTAAAATAATGTTATTACGGCTCGCGATCGATTCTGATAAGTATTTTACTATTGTTTCGGTGATTGTTACCTTTTGAGAATATGGTTGCAATAGTTGCTAAATGAGTTTCATTATAACCCTTTGTTATGACAGTATATATAGGAGAAAAGCTTTGTGAGGGCTGTTATGATTTCCTGCTAGTATCCGTGGATATTTTTAGGAGTACCTTTACCTAGTGTAGTATACCTATATTTATTAATCTTATACCCATGTTGTATGATATTGTATGATGTATTTGTTGAAACTACCCTAGTTTTGTTGGTATATAGCTAATTATCTATGAACCTTGGTATTTATTTTATATGTTTATATTAGATAATGTTAAAATTTTTGTAGCTATTCAGCGATGTTTGCCGAAAATGATAAAAATTGAGAATTGTTTTGCTAGAGTTTAAGGTATGTTCTTCACGTTGTGGAAATCATGCCATTCTTCCAAAACTTTATTGCACAATTGCAACGCCAGTGACGGGCGAATTATCTATTCCAAGAGACTCGTTAGGGGATGATAAATAATAATATAGTTGTGTCGTTGAAAGTTGGGTGTCAGCAAGGTCATTATATTTTGTCGGGATGCTTGGGTTTTTCTTTTGTTTATAGTAGATTGTACATTGAACGTAGATTTGTACCACTATTAAATAATCTCATATATATTATTGGACGTACACAACTATTATGTGGGAGTACATATCAATCCAAACTAATTCTTCTAAACTAGAAAACAAAGATACATGAATTCACAACGAAAGTACGCTACAAATATATACATGAAATATGCCATCAATGCTTTCAAAATATTTGGTGAGTACATATCTTCTAAATATACGTCAATATGTATAAAATAACTTATAAAGTTGTCCCGTAAGGGATGACCTAGTGGTGTGAGGGTGGTTTATGACCGTGAGGTCATGGGTTCAAACCCCCGATGCCTCCAGGTTACCTACCACACATAGTTCGCCAACTTAGGGATCTCTTGATACCCAACCATGATCCTCGCTAGCTTAGATGGCTATGAGTTGAATAAATCATTGCAATTTCGTCAAATCTTGGTGTCTATCAACAAATACTACTAAAAACGATCAGTGAGATCATTTGCTTTTGTATTCAATGGTGGATGAGAATGTCACATAAGGTACGGTTGACATAACATATGATGTTATGGATTATGGTAAGACATATTGCCGAGTTATTGGATAATTGATGAGATATGTCTTGGTCTACACACTTTTTATTGATTTCATTCATGTTAACATTTTGTAGGATAGAAAAAACATCATAACGAACAAATATATTAGAAGGTATGAGAAGTAAATATTACACATGAAACATATTAGAACTATTCACACTATAAGTAAGCATTTGTCATTGAAGTGTATATCAAATGTGTCCACAGGTGCTTTTTGGACAGTATGGTGAGTACAAATCTTTCTACGACATGTCGAATATGTATATAATTATTTATAAAGTTTATTTTTAATAAGAGTACATGCAATCGTGTCAGAAGTATGCTAGTTAGTTAAATGAGGAACACATGTCTTCATTAGGAGTATGTTATTCAAATTTAGGAGTTTTTCTGTACCCAACCATGAAATTTTGTGCACTTATATTTTTTAATTTTTTCTGTACATATCTTTAGTTGAAATATTGTGCACCTATATTTTTTAATTTTTTTTGTACGTATCTCTAGTTCAAACGATCATACTTATAGAGAATCACACATGTCATATGTTAAATTAGAAAATATGATAATGTTTTTGGCAAAATATAACATCAATGACTAACTACTCAAAATTGAAAATCATATGATTCAAACCTCATTTGCTCCCAATTTATACATAAAACTTAACATATAAATCTGACAAAATGATACTAGACAACCCGTCCAAGGTCTTATAATAAAATCTTCATAATAAATTTTGTTCATCATATTTTGACACCATCGAATTTCGATAGCTCGTCTGCTAGGCGGATAAGTTTTTATGTTGCATAAGCATAACTCTCAAGGAACATACATACTACTGACACACAATCATGACTCTCACTTTGGGCATGACAACACTTAAAACACATAAATAATTATGTAAGAGTATATACAACACAAATTCAAATTTATGACATAACTATATAGCTATGTAACTTTCTTATAAAAGAACATCAATTAAAAATCAGGGCACACATTATATACAGTTTGTTATAACTAAAAATATTTGGATGCATTAACGTACAATAGTAAAACAAACAAAAATGAAATAAAAAAAATAGATACATGAACAACAAAAAATGTGATAGAGATATCAACAAATACCTTCGATACTTACAAAAGTCATTCCACATGAGAAATCGGTAGTGGTCACAACTGATGCCAATATAGTTTCTTTTTTTTTTCGGACAATTTAGAAAATATCCAAACAATGTGAGTTGTAGATCTTTCAGCTATTTATCCTTCATCCAAACTTTAAGTTTAGCAATATTTGTATAAAAGAAATGTATAAAAAATCTGGAGGTAATCCATTTGTATTCTTTTTCGGGTCTTCCATCATTTCAAAACAAAAATATGTCTTCATGAGTATATACCCAAAACAACTATAAGTTTATGGCATAACTCCAAAGGTAAGTAATCTTTTATTTGAGGCATATAAATTAACAATCAAGGCACACCAAAGGCAATGAGATCATTTGCAAATAATATAAAGAACAAATAAAAATTTCTAATAATTGACAAAATAGATATATCTATAACCAACACCATGACAGAGATATCATCCAATACTTTAATACTTAAAAAATCACCCGACAGAGGCACAAGACAAAGAGATCGGAGCATATCACAAATTTAAAAAATACAAATTTAAAATATCAATTTTAGAAAAAACAAAAAACTTTAACTTACTTCTTGGAACTCTGTTTTGGAGAGAGCATTTTTTATATTTTCGAGTAGGGAGTGTATTTTTGTTTTATCTTCTTTTTTCATCTTTGATGCGAACAAGTTCCAGTGCAACAGTGTCAATGGTATTTGAGGTGACGTTTAATGCCAACGGGTTGAAAATAGGAGGGAAATGATATTTGAAGAAACAAAGTGATTGGGATCGTGAGATTGTTGGTATTTTTTATTTTATTTTATTTTTTGTATTATTTTTGTAATAGATCGAAGTACATAAATAAAAAAACCTCAAGTACTTTACTTTGAAATAATATTTGTACAACGGAATAATTTTAAAGTATGTAAATAGAGAACATAAGTTTATATAAAATCAACTGGAGTATATAAAAAATTCGTTTTATTAACTCATTATTATAGGGACAAATTGGGTACTAGGGAGTGCAGTGTAAGTATTATGCAAAAATAAGGAGTGCAGTATCTTCAGTTAATATGGAAGGACTGAACTTAAATATTTTTTATTTGACAGGAATTTAAATCAAAATTACCTCTTTCTTTCTTTCTTTCTTTCTTTTTTGTTTTTGTTTTTTTTTTTTTTTTTCTTGCACCATTTCTTTCTCTTTCTCATGTCATTCATATTCCTTCATCACTATAATTTTTTCTCTTTCAATATTCTCTTTCTTAACTTGAATTTGCTTTTGAGCTATTGTTTATGTATTGAAGATTAAAAGAGTAAGATTTCTATTCAAACCTCGATACATATCTCCCATACACAAGGCGAAACTCAGTTTACTTTTATTATTTTGCCTCGAAAATCAAACTACTGGGTAATTATTTTTGCTGGATATAATAATAATAGTAAAGCTTCTACATAATAGAAGACTATCTATTTTGCATACTACTGCTATATATGTTCCAATTCTTAATTTATAAAATGCCAATATACAATACATTCCTTGACAGCTTACAATAGACATAGTACTTTTTCAAGCAACCAAAATATATACACAAAAGAAATAAAACCAGCTATAATATGCAGTATCCATTATTTATGTATAAAATTACTTGGATAAATATTCAAAACTCAACTCTTATTAATGATAATGATGGTTTCCATCGTGTTCCTTCTATTAATGAAAGCTCCATAGGATTATTTATTATAATGATGATAACAATAACACCAAGCTTCACTCAGATGATTTTATAAATTACTTTATATATTAATTTTTTGGAGCAACATGCTCTGCTCCAAACAATCCCGGGCAACAGTGAACACATTGGGTGTGTTGACAAAATTATTTCTTTTCAATACTATTTTCAACGAGTTGATCAATTAAAAAAAATTAATAATTTAATACAAAATATTATTCTTAATATCGAGTCTTCGTAATTAAAATAAAAGCATACATTTAAAAAAATACAAAACAAAGACACCCATGGTGTCCAATAATCTCTAATGTTGGTGAATTAAAAAAAAAAAATTAAAAATATACAAAACAAAGACACCCATGGTGTCCAACAATCTGCTAATATTGATGAATTAAAAAAAATAAATAAATAAAATAAAATTAATTGAATATCTATAGTTGTCTAGGAGTTTATCCACTTTTATTTGTACATAATCGAGTGCACTTTGTAAAAGAAGACATAGGGGCCAAAAGATCCAAAGCAAGGGAGCTTGCAATAATTGGCCCGCTCCTAATATTTTTAATATTTGGCGAAAAAGTGTTTGAATGAAACTTGAGTAATTGAGAATAGAAACCAACAAACTCCAACTCCCTAGTCGATCAATCGAAACCATAGTAGGCTATCTTCTCTAGTTAGACAATGAATAAAAATCTTCTTGTTGGAATTTAGCTTAATGTTGGAGTGGAATACCTTTGTGCATGTTAGAAATTTTGGGGAAAAATAATAAAATTGTTTTATTGATCATCAAAATAAAGAATTTATATATAAGCAAGACAAAACAGACTCGATAGACTCAAATCTAAGCAATCTAATCTACGGATAAGACCAAATCTAAATATAAATATACTAAATTTAAAACTGAATATCTAAAATATATCAACATCCCCCTTCAAACTTAAATGGTATAACATAAACCAACTTGAGTTTGATAAGAAAGTTGAATATAAACGCAAAAAAAAAAAAAAAACACATAAAAATAACAGTTGACTCTCCACCTGAGCCGAAAACAAGATGACTTTCCACCCCGGAGCAAAAAACGTGATAACTCTCCACCGAAGCCGAAAACAAGATGACTCTCCACCGAAGCCGAAAACGAGATGATTTTCCATCGGAGCAAAAAACGAGATGACTTTCCATCGGAGCCGAAAACGAGATGAATTTCCACCAGAGTCGAAAACGATATGACTCTACCGGAGCCGAAAACAAGATGACTTTCTACCGGAGCCGAAAACGAGATGACTCTTCACCGGAGCCGAAAACGACATGACTCCACCGGAGCAAAAAATAAGATGACTTTCCACTGGAGCCGAAAACAAGATGACTCCACCGAAGCCGAAAACGAGATGACTCTCCATCGGAGCCGAGAATGAGATGACTCCACCGGAGTCGAAAACGACATAGATCAAAAATACCAAATAGATTGTACGCAGGCAATAGAAAAGTACAGACATATGGCAGATCGCAGACAAATATCATATCACACGCAGACAACAGACAAACAGCGGACAGATGACAGATCACAGACAAGTTTCAATCGCACGCATGCAACAGACAACAGTGGACAGATGGCAGATCGCAGACAGGTTTCAGATTGCACGCAGGCAACAGACAAGCAGCAGACAGATGGCAGATTGTAGACAGATTTCAGATGGCAGATAGCATGATCTCAAAATTACAAGACCTCCGGGTACTAATAGTTAAAAATCGCATGCGTTAAATGTTCATATTATATGCGATATTTGATTGATTTTGACTGGGTTCTACCTAATTTATATGCGTATTGTTTATTTGATGTGTGTAAAGGGCATATATCAAATATGGCGTAATTGACATAAAAAGTAAAGAAAAATTCAGATTTGCACCACTTAGTTAGTCATGGCCATGACTAACTACACCCTCTTGACATGAATATTTAATTAAAGGCCAAAAAGTCCAGCTACAAAATAATTAGGGCAAAAATTGAGTAAAATGAGGGGAGGCACACGCATACACAAAATGAGGACGGCCAGAGAAGCAGATATGCACAGGAGCATGAGACTGACAGACTCATAGATCGCGCAGGAGCAAATCGACAGAGAATATTTCCCCTCCCACTATGACTTTATCTTTCTCTATTGTTCTTCGTTATTTGATTATGGAGTAGATATTTTTCTCGTTTGACGGATGATAATATTTTGGTTCTTGTGTTTGGAGATTCTTAATTTTCTTTATAAAAGTTCTTTTTTATTATCAATATTTGTCTAATTCTGAGAATAACGTTTGTGATTGTTAGATTGATTGAATATTTTGGTACCAATATTTGAATTAGTCTGATAATCTAAATTCAATTCAGGTAGGATATCCGTAATTGTATTCGCACTTGAATAGGTGACAACCGGGTTGAATGGTTCCTTCCCGGGGGTTAGACAATCAAATCTATTTGCTCATGTTAGGTAGTAATTGTTTTGAATTGGGTTTTTCTAGATTAGAATGCGATTAGGCAATATTTCCTATAGGCGCACCTAGGTTTATTTGCTTAATTAGGGGTAGTTAACGATCGTACCTTAATTACCTACATTGTAAGAAAAAGTTGGTTGTCAGAGCTTGTTGATAACTATAACCAATTTATTGATACTTTAATAAGAACTAACTTTATTGAATTAATGATAAAACACAAGTGGTATAACTGCATCATCCCTTGAGCCAGACATCCCCTTAATAGCTAGTTCTCCGTTAATTTAATTGTTTTATTATTTTATCTTCATTAGTTAATAAAAGAAAATTCCCCCCCCCCCTTTTTATTGACTGCAATTGAGCGCGAAAGAGTGAACCACACAATCTCTATGGAGACGATCTCTTTCCCTGTATTACATTAAATTGTGATCACGAAATAGGTGAAATATTTGATTGACCGCGCGACAGGTCAATTTTTGGCGCCATTGCTAGGGATTGGCGCTTTATTTTACTGTTTTGTGCTATTTTCATTTATCCTCCTATTTATGCCCCGTTCTTCTCGTACAAGTGAACTGATTTTTATTCTTGAGATCGAGAAGGTTGAGCGAAAGCTGCAAAAGGAAGCCAAACAACAAAAAGCTGCCCAAGTTGCAAAGCAGACAGAATCTTTAAACCACCTCAGAATCTCTAGCTCTAGTGACTCTGAAAGTGATCAAGAGATTGTCATGGCTGAGGATACCCGCACTCTAAGGGAGTTGGTTTCTCCCGACTTGGCGCAGCAGCCCTTATGCATTAACTTTCCAACTCTGAATAACACTATTGCTTTTGAACTTAAATCTGGGTTAATTCATTTACTTTCTTCTTTTCACGGACTTGCAGGCGAAGAACCTCACAAACACTTGCAAGAGTTCGATGTAGTGTGCTCCAGCATGAAACCACCAGGTGCTACTCAAAGATGCTGCAAAGGATTGACTCTACTATCTCCCACTTGAAAGCATCGACACATGGAACGACATGAAAAAGAAATTTTTGGAGAAGTACTTTCTAGCTTTCAGAGCTGCGATTCTGAGGAATGAAATATGTGGCATCAAACAACAATTAGGTGAAACGCTCTATGAATATTGGGAGTGATTTAATAAGCTTATCATTAAATGTCCAGAACATCAAATTCCCCCTCAATTATTGATTCAATATTTTTATAATGCTTTGTCATTAATGGACAGGAACATCATCGATGCCACAAGTGGTAGAGCTCTAGTAAATAAGACGCCATAAGCTTGGGATCTTATTGCGATGATGGCTGAAAATACGCAATAGTTTGGCTCGAGGGATGTTGGACACACGAGTGGAAACAGTAACAACCATTCTATCTAATCGATGCAGCAACAACTTTCTGAGTTGACGAGCTTTGTTCACAAGATGGCCGTGGAAAAATCTAGCTCGAGTGTCCAAGTTAAAGCGTGTGGAATATGCACAAGTGCAGGCCACCCTACGGATGCATGCCCGACCCTTCAAGAAGGCTATGCAGTTGATGTAAACGCTGCAAACTATGGTGTGAATGGACCTCAAGTGTACAACCCGTACTCCAACACCTACAATCCAGGCTGGAGAGATCATCCGAACCTACGTTATGGAAACGCACAGCAGAGTAATGATCCTCAACCATTCGGAGCTATGCAGAAGATACAACAACCTCGTTTCTATGAGAAACAACCGCGCCAAGCACCCACAAGCAACTCCAGTCCATCTTTGGAAGACTTGGTAAAGTCTATGGCTACCACTACCCTGCATTTCCAACAAGAGATGAAAAAGTTCCAACAAGAGATGAGATCCACAGTTGACAAATTACAAGGTCAGATCAATCAAGTGTCAGAGGAGGTAAGACAACTATGCGAAAGAGAAAAGTGGCCAGCTCAGTCTAAGCCAAATTCAACAAATGTCAGTGCCATCACTATCTGCAGTGATACGATAGTTGAATGTCCTTCCCAACCTAATCCAAACAATACGAGTGCTATAACACTCCGTAGTGGGAAGCAATTGGACGGTCCAACTCCCATCTCAAAGGAGCAAAGCGAAGAGGAAATTGAAAATGAGATTGAAAAGGAGGCTGAGATCCACGAAAAGGTACATCCTAATTTTGTTCTTCCTACTGAAACTAAATCGGCTCCTTTCCCTGACAGGTTGAAGAAACCACAAAAGGCAAATAAGCGAAAAAAGATGATGGAGATATTCAAGAAAATGAAACTTAATATCCCGCTCCTGGAAGCTATTAACCAAATTCCCAAGTATGCAAAATTTTTGAAAGAACTGTGCACCAACAAGAGAAAATTGCGAGGGGATGAGTACATTATAGCGGGTGAGAACGTTTCTGCTATTCTCAAAATAAAGGTACCACCTAAAACAGGTGATCCAGGTACGTTTTCGATCCCTTGTAAGATTGAAAAAACTGAAATAATTAAGGCTATGCTAGATCTAGGAGCTGTTATTAATATCATGCCACGATCAATATATGATTCTTTAAATCTACGGCCTCTAAAAGAAACATGAATTATTATTCAACTTGCTGATCAAACCAATTCTTATCCTGATGGTATGATAGAAGATGTACTAGTTCAAGTGAATGACTTAATTTTTCATGTTGATTTTTATATTCTGGATATGCATGATGCACACTGCTTTAATCCACCGCCTCTTTTGTTAGGAAGACTTTTTATGTGCACTGCAGAAGCGAAGATAGATGTTAAAAAGGACACACTCAACTTGGAGTTTGATGGAGAAGAATTTCATTTCAATATTTTTAATCCCATCAAATGTCCTGTTAAATCTGAATCGTTATATGCAATTAATGTTATTAAATCTGTGGTGTAGGAAACAGATGAAGTTGGTAATGAAAATAAACGAAGAACTGTGTTGATAAAACAGTTAGAGAAAAGATCAACTGACGAGATGATGAGTAATAGAAAAAAAAAAGAATTGTTGAAAAGTTGAAATGGATTTCCAAGGGATCACCATTGTCAGCCGCAAAAAAGTGCCACAAGAAGAATCAAATTTTAAGGTGAAAAAAACGTATGTGGCCAATAGACATCACTTCAAATTACACCACGAGGGACCCTCACTTGATCCTATAAAGTCGGCACCCGTTTCCAATTTTGATGTTTCGAATTAATGCGAGACGAAGTCTAGCTCAAAGACTAGAAAGAAAAGCATGTTTTTGGAAGAGAACCCAAACCATCTAATTGCTTTCTTTAATTTTAATCTTTGTTTTTTTATTATTATTTATAAATGCTAACAATACTTTTGATGATTTTGTTTGGTTTTGTGCAGATCTCTTGGAAAATAATTACTTGCTCTTGGCGTAGGCGTATCAATTTTCTTAAACTTAAAAAAAAAAAAAATCAAGTTAAGAGGTGACTTTTACTTATGGTCATGACTAATTGGCATCTCTCATACTGTTTTTTTTTTCTTCTTTTTTTTTACCCATCATTTCTTACCTATCCAATTTCCAGAATAAAAGATAATATTTAGATATGACCACGGATAAAACCCTCTATTACATTGTCTGCCTCTTCCTTTCCCTTACCTAATTTTAACTTTAAATTCTCAAAATAAATAAATAATTTTAAATAAATTCCTAAATCCTAATCTCTATCCCTTTCTCTCTCCCCCTCTCTTTCTCTTTCTCTTCTTTTTCTCCCCCTCCACCGCGCTCGTCCTCCTCTACCCCGACGCCGCCTAGCCGGACCACACCGCCTGCATCTCCTTCTCTTCCTCCTTTCTCCCTCTACCCCGACGCCGCCTAGCCGGACCACACCGCCTGCATCTCCTTCTCTTCCTCCTTTCTCCTTCTTCTTCTTCTTCTTCTTCTTCTTCTTATCCTCTTCCGCCCTCCTGCGTGATCTACCAGCCAGCGTCGCACAGCGACGCCGCGCCGTCCCCTCGTCGAACTGCCTCGCCCCTGCTTCGCCCTCGCCATCAACCGAACGACCACATCAGCAGCATCGCTGACGTTGCGCAGCCTCTCCCTCTCGCCGATGTCGTGCTGCACCAAACAAAACAACATCCTATTCGTCTCTTCTATCCACGGGTATCGTTCTTCCCTCTCCGGTATTGGTATTCGGTAGTATCTCTCGATCCCTCTATTTTTACTATTTTCAACTTTTGGGATAATACGTTGAGATAGAGCGATTTGTGTTTTGAATTTGCCAATTGAGAACTCCTGTGACAAGTAACTAGGAATTTGGTGTGAGCTTTGAATTCGATTTTTATTAGCAGCGATAGTGTTGTGGCATGTTAGTCCCAATTGATAATTTGAATTGCACATTGAACTCGCTTGGTTGACTCAAAGGTTGTATTTATCTCAGTGATCCTTGGAGATATATGTTTCGATTTTGGACGGTTAGATATTGCATTGGCTCGATTATAACTATAGTGTGGTTGAAATTTGGGCTCCCTATTTGTTAAATATTGTTCTGGTTTGTTAGGACTGCACATTCTTTGTTATGATCTTTTATTATCAAGCGTTCTTTTTGAATACTTTGTTGCACTTGGCTACTTTATTTTTGCAGAGAACTCATGAGACACTTCAAGCCTCCCTAAAAATAGCGTATGCGCAACTCTAAAGGCATTGGCAAGCAAAGCAAAAGCTCGCAATTGCTCCACCCCCTACGGACTTCAGGGAAGTTCCTTTCTTATTTACTTCTTTTTACATTGAGGACAATGTATACTTTAGGTGTAGGGAGGAGAGAGTTGTGCAAAATGTTTGGGTGAATTTTTTTTCATTTTGTGCTACTTTTATGCCTGATTTGTTGTTCTTTCACATGGTTTTTAGATTAGTCTGAAATGAGTCAAAGATGGTTAGTGTGATAGGTTAGTTTGGCATGACTAATGACATTTGATTGGTGATATGTTGAGTCAAGTCGACGTTTGAACCCCGTGAGATTTTAGCCTATGTTCCAAAAGTTACATTAGAAAATAAATTGCATATATTCAAGCTTTTGGAAATTTCTTTCATGTGTGATTTTTAGTGCTCAATTAGATGACCTAGAACTTGAGTGATTATGTATGTTGAACTTGAAACTATCGAGTCTTGCATTTTGAAAATGATAAGGGCATTAGGTAACCCCATTAAGCCTTTGTTTATTACCCAACACAATATATTCCCTAGTTAGCCCTTTTGAGCCTTCTTAGCCTTTTTTTTCTTTTATAATAAACCGTCTTTTAGTCTCATATCCTTCTTTTGATTAAGCCTTCTCCGATTTGAACCTTATGTTAGAAAGAATTACTTTAAGTCCATGTTGTGATGCACTTCATTACTTTGGCACTAGTTAGAAACAAAATTTGGGTATGAATAAGTCATAATATGCAGGAATGATCATGGGTAGTGAAGGTATATATATATATAAACGCAAAAAAAACAAAAAAAAAAAACAAAAAATTCAAAACAATGCGTATTATTTTATTTGTTTTGTGCAGAGGACAAAATATATAATTTGGCGTAATTGGCAGAAAAAGTAAAAAGAAAATTCATATTTGCACCACTTAGTTAGTCATGGCCATGACTAACTACACCCTTTTGAGATGGAAATTTAATTAAAGGCCAAAATGTCCAGCTACAAAATAATTAGAGCAAAAATTGAATAAAATGAGGGGAGGCACACGCTTACACAAAAAGAGGACGGCCAGAGAAGCAGACACGCACAGGAGCAGGAGACTAACAGACTCATAGATCGCGCATGAGCAAATCGACAGAGAAGATTTCCCCTCCCACTATGACTTTATCTTTCTCCATTGTTCTTTGTTATTTGATTATGAAGTAGATATTTTTCTAAATTGAGGGAGGATAATGTTTTGGTTCTTGTGTTTTGGAGATTCTTAATTTTCTTTATAAAAGTTCTTTTTTATTATCAATATTTGTCTAATTCTGAGAATAACGTTTGTGATTGATAGATTGATTGAATATTTTGGTACCGATATTTGAATTAGTCTGATAATCTAAAGTCAATTTAGGTAGGATATCCGTAAATGTATTCGTACTTGAATAGGTGACAACCGGATTAAATGGTTCATTCCCGGAGGTTAGACAATCAAATCTAATTTCTCCTTTTAAGTAGTAATTATTTTGAATTGGGTTTTTCTAAATTAGAATGTGATTAGGCAATATTTCTTATGGGCGCACCTAGATTTATTTGCTTAATTACGGGTAGTTATCGGTCGTACCATAATTACCTACATTGTAAGGAAAAATTGTTGATACTTTAATAAGAACCAACTTTATTGAATTAATGATAAAAACACAAGTGTCATAACTGCATCATCTCTTTAACCAGACATCCCCTTAATAGCTAGTTCTTCGTTAATCTAATTGTTTTGTTATTTTATCTTTGTTGATGTCGATTTTCAACAATAAAAAGTAAAATTCGAAAATAGAAATTATCTTCGAATTTGATAAAATAAATGTCTGAGATTAAGAATCCTTAGACACCGTACGATACATAAATCAAATAAGAAAAATAAATACTATAGACTGTAAAAGTAAATGGTGATTCCCAAAAGCAATTCACTGAATTTGATGTCGATTCAAGATGGTTTCTTTAGGTCATGAAATGACCTATTTAAAAACCTATGTCAACCGCCACAACCAGGTTGTGCCTTCATATCCGCCCGCTGGTTGTAATCTCTCTCAACCATCTTAAAGCTGCTTTTCATCTGACCTGCACACCTATTGCTCCGTCTCCTCTTGCCCGTCTTCCATTTGTCCGACCTCCGTATCAGTCACTTCTTCGCCCGACCTCATCTTACCCGACTTCGTATAGGCCGCCTCATCCTTCTTCGCCTGACTTTATTTTACCCGATTTCGTGTTGACCGCCTCATCCTTCTTCGCCCGACTTCATTTTGTCCGACCTCTGTATCCATCGCTCACTTAATCTACAATTTCTCTTGATCTGAACTTATTTAAGACCCTATCACGATGATCAAGCCCATTGGACTATGCATTTGTCCAATTTACAGGCCCATTCTAAAAAACCCTATACATAGGTTTTTTCTCGCTCAACAACTTGCCTCCTCCCGTCCGACTCCTAAGCGTCACTTCTCGAACTGTGTGAGACGTGACATTTAGGGGTTTACAGCATAGTGCTGTCATTACACTGTTTCATGTCACATCGCGGGGTTTATGTAAAACCCTTCTCTCACTCTTCCATACTCACGCACTCAAAATCCTGAAATCCTCCTTTCTCTCCCCAGCGATCATCTTCCAAAAACCCTCTGCTCCTTTGCTCTCTGCATACTCCTCGCAAATGGCTAACCAATATATCCCTACTCTTCCTTTCGACGGGACTGACCCATCGGTGCCTTTCGTGGCTTCAAGGGTCCTTACCCCGTACCATTCGCCCTTATTGCACTACAAATGAAGATGCCGACCGAATGAGATCTGTTATCTCTCAGGTTTCCCCAATAATCATCAACGTTGCTGCGTTCAAACCGGAACGTCTCCTGGACAGCATCAGGACTCACTTTACCGATCCCAAATATGCCTATCGCAAATGGCACGCGAGACTACTCCCCCACTTTGAAGGACAATGGAGGAGGCAAGGTATTGACAAAGCCATCCTCCTCTCGACTCAGCCCCTTCATCTTCACGACAAGACCCTGCCATTCCCAGATGGGTGTCTTTTTCCTCCATTCTGGCCCTATTGGCCCGACCCTGATGGACGTGGCCATCATTGCCCATTTGCCTATAGTGGGTGATGACCCTGTCCTGGTTTCCTTCGAGGGTCGGGAACCTTCGCCCGACCATGCTGGTTGGGCCCTCGCCAAGCTTCCCGAGAATGAGAGAAGCTGAACCAGCTTTGTCACCAAATTTTTGGGCGAGGAAGGCAC